TTTAAATTATATTATATTATAAAACAAAAATTATTAAAAATTAAGAAATAATTATTAATATAAAAAAAACTCACCCATCATCCAATAATTTAAGTTGTATTATAGCATAATCAAAATTACACAACTATTTTTTTTTCGAAAGAAAAAGGCACTAGTTTGTTAAAACTTAAGCACAATGATACATAAATATTGTAAAATTATACACAATATATAACAAAAATCATCAATTTTAACAGTTAAATAACAACAATCATTAATTTTAATGATACAAATAATAAAAATTATCAATTTTAACAGTAGAAGTTATAAAGTATATATATCATTCTCCATAACTAAAAAAAAAAAAAAAAAAAAGGGGGATTTTGGGACATCAAGTACGAGTAGTGGGCTTATGTTCCATTATAAAAAATTCAAATATAAACCCAAATCAGGAGCCCAAGAACTAGATGACCCGAAAATGAAAGCCCGACGCAATACATGACAAAATGTCAACCACTCATCCCACGTCAATTCTTTTCCTTTCAACACAGCGGCAATCCAATTATCTGACGAACTAATTCAGAGCATGAAATAAGCGTTTTAGGGACCACCACCGCCGCCGTCGTTGCTCCGATGGAGTTGACCTCAGTTGCTATTGCCGTAAAAGTCGATGCTTCCGGCGGAAGCGGAGGCAGCGGTAGCCGACGTGCCGTTCGCTGGGCAGCGGAGAATTTGAAACCTGATCTCTTTGTACTCGTCCACGTTATGCCTGCTGTTACTTCAATCCCAACTCCATGTATGAATAGCCTGCTTATCAGTTTTAAAAATTTGTTCTTGTTTAATCTGAGTACGTCTATGATTAATTGAGTTGAAACTTTCTGGAATTTGGAGTTAAATTTTGTGATTTAGGATTGCACGTGCTTGAGTAATTGCTATTTCGGAGATGTTTAATTTGATTTCACTATTAAATTGGGATTTCTAAGCAATAAAATTGAATCCTTAATGGAAAATTACGCCTGAAAATGCAAGAACCGGATACTGATTTGCTTCAAAAAGTTGATTTAAAAAAAAAAAAAAAATCTGTGTTGTGTACATGATACTACAGCAGGAGACAGTATTCCGATTACAGAATTGGATGAGAATGTGGTGACTATGTATGTTGAGGAGATGAGACTTAAGTTTGAAGAAGCCCTTGAACCATTCAAGAACCTACTGAAAAGAAGAAAGGTGGGTTTTAGCTTCTGTTGTCAAAAGAACAAGGAAATTGAAAAAAAATGTTTGTTTGGCAAACTAAACTTGTAAAGGTTTTTTCTTCTCTGTGTAGATAGAAACATTGGTGCTGGAGGATGAAAATCCGGCCACAGGGCTTCTAAGATATATATCCGAGTCAGGGATCAATAGTTTAGTGTTGGGCTCTTGTGCTTCAAATTATATAACAAGGTATAGTGATATACTATGTGGTTACTGCTTATTCTACCAATTTTCGGGGTCTGTATGAAATAACATAACCCTCTTTGCTGATTTAGCTACTGTTTAGAAAACGATGCAGTCTACTTCATTAAGAGCTCTTCTCATTTAGTTTTTATTTTTATTTTTTTTAAAAATTATGTCTTCTTTTTATTTGAATTTTAGAATAAGGGTTCTGAGCTAATCTTCAGTTAATGGATCTTTAGGAAGCTGAAGGGACCTGGGATTCCTGAAACAGTTCTAAGAAATGCCCCTGAAACTTGTGAAGTTTATGTTGTATCTAGAAGTGAAGTCATTAGAAAATCAGATTGTCCTTCATCATTTAGAGGTATGTTGGAAATGCATACTATTGCAATTCATTTCTTAATGTGTTTGTTGTAGATTTCTATTTTGTCCATTTTCTTATGAATGTAAGCCTTTAGGAAATTGGTTTGTGGTAATGTCTTGGATTGTTACTTTTGCAATCTCTCAGGAACTAGCTCTAGACCTTCGATGCATTCTCATACAGATTACAAAGAAGGTCCCTGTGGTAGGAATGGACGGTTGTCTGGTCTCTCTAGTTGCACTGTAGAATCCATCCCTCAAGAAACCTTGAGCAAAAAATTATTGGAGCATTATTACCTGGATTTTGATGCATCTCCATCTGAACAGGCAAGTCATTTGAGTTTTTTTCAGGGCATGTTGACATTCTTTCCATAGAGTTTTCCATTACAAATGGTGTCTGGGTCAGCTTTGATCTGAATGATTTTTATACAGTTGGATGTGGAGGATGTTGAAGTGGAACAGCTACGTATGGAATTACAAAATACAATTACTATGTATAAACAGGCTTGTGAAGAGCTTGTTCACACCCAAAAGAAGGTGAGAGTTGTGAGCAATTAGAGTGATTAGCACTTGATGTGCCCACCAACATGTATTAAGTCTTATGCATTGAGAGTAAAGGGTTTTAAAAATTTAATACTTTGGACATGCTAGATTTCTTCTTGTTTGGAAGATTTTTGAGATCTGAGATCATGTTGAATTTGCATTTATTTGGTCATGCAGACAGTTTTTACATTCCTGAGCTTTGAGAAATAATTTATGGACTGGATAGACCTTTAATGCCCATACTCATCAGTCAGTGGTTCTCTAATTTGCAGGTTGAATTACTTTCTTCAGAATGCCTTGAAGAATCAAGAAGAGTTAACGCTGCTCTGGAAAGAGAAGAAACTTTTAGAAAAATTGCTACTGAAGAGAAAGCAAAGCACTTACAAGCCATGAAGGAGGTCGAGGAGGCAAAATGTTTGCTTGCTAAAGAGGCTTATGAAAGGCAGATAGCTGAAGTAAATGCCCTCAAAGAATCCTTGGAGAAGCAAAAAATTGCTGATGCACTCTTCTCTAGTGACAGAAGGTACAGAAGATACGCAGCAGATGAGATAGAGGTAGCAACAGATTTCTTCTCCAGGACTAATTTGATTGGTGAGGGAAGTTACGGGAAAGTCTATCATTGCAACCTCTATCACACTCCTGTAGCTGTTAAGGTTCTTCAGCTTGATGCTGTAGACAAGAGAGATGAATTTTTGAATGAGGTAATTTTCTGTGGCTTTCCTTTGGGATTGAGTTTATTAGCCAGTCTGATTTCTTCCTTTATCCTACGGTACCATTTTAATTTGTTCTGGAAGTTGATTTGAGAAGTTAGCTTTTCTGCTTTATATTCATTATGGTCCTCATCTACTTTTGGTTATTCAGTACAGAAATTTGAAAAACTCTATCTATTACCACAACTATTATGAGGTTAAAATTAACTTAACAGTGATAAATTCTCCCTTAAATCCTTCAGTTAGCTGTCTTCCTCCATGATTTCTGTCATACTAGGACAGAAGTGCTAAATGTATCTACCATTTAGTTATCATTTTTTATTTCTAAGTTTGTGGCCTACAGTGTTTATATGTATTACTTTATATTTTTAATGAATCCCTAATAGTTATGGCATAAACAGTTCATATGAACCCTTCACAGGTTGAAGTTCTTAGCCGACTGCATCATCCAAACATTGTTTTGCTGCTTGGAGCCTGTCCTGAAAATGGTTGTCTGGTTTATGAATACTTGGAAAATGGAAGCCTGGAGGAATATATTTTTCGTTTAAATGGAAAACCTCCTCTCCCTTGGTTCATTCGGTTTCGGATTGCTTTTGAAGTAGCTTCTGGTCTTGCATTTTTACACAACTCAAAGCCAGAGCCTATTGTCCATCGAGATGTAAAACCAGGTAATATCTTGTTGAACAGAAATTATGTGAGCAAAATTGCAGATGTTGGGATGGCCAAGCTCCTTTCAGATGTTGTCCCAGACAACATCACTGAGTACAGAGACTCTATTCTTGCTGGTACTCTATCCTACATGGATCCAGAGTACCAGAGAACTGGCACCGTACGACCCAAATCAGATCTTTATGCATTTGGAGTTACAACACTTCAGCTATTGACAGGACGCCACCCCAATGGACTTATACCGAAGGTAGAAAATGCTATTAAGGATGGCTCCTTGGCTATGATCCTAGACAACTCAGTTTCAGATTGGCCACTTGCTGAAACAGAGAAATTAGCTCGGGTAGCATTGAAATGTTCAAAACTCAGATGCAGGGATAGACCAGATCTTGATACTGAAGTCCTTCCAATTCTCAAAAGACTAGCTGATGTTGCGGATAGGTGCTTAAAGGCAGAAAGAAACAGCATCTATGCACCGAGCCATTACTTCTGTCCAATCCTTCAGGTGAAAATTAAAAGGAGTTGTTGATTTGAAGATATATTTCTTTCTATATCAGCATGTTCTTGTATTCTTGTTTTCTTGATGTATATTATTTTGTGGGTAATGCAGGAAATTATGGATGATCCTTATGTTGCTGCCGATGGATTTACATATGAGCACAGAGCAATCAAAGCGTGGCTTGAGAAACACAATGTATCACCAGTGACAAAATACAGGCTCCAAAATTCTGTATTGACTCCAAACCACATATTACGGACTTCCATACAGGAGTGGAAGTCACGGAGGACATTTTCTAGCGCATTAATTTAAGGTGAGTTTCCAACTACAATACTTTGTACATAATGTAGTCCTCAAAACATGATATTTGCATTTATATGTAGATCTTACTTGCTCATTTGTATCTGTATGGTCTCGTGTAAGGATTGCTGGCCTTCCAGATTTCCTAGATGTGTATAGGAAATCCCTGTAACATGTATCAGTGCAATAAGAAACCTGTACTCTTATTACGGGGACATTTGAGATAACTATAGATTTGGATTCAGAACCTCGAAAACAATGTCATATAGCACAAACTGAAACAAATCTGTGTAACTGGTAGGAGAAAAGCAACTGGCAGAATAAGGAGAAAGGATTTACGAGCTTTATTATGGTTGTTCCTCAGATCCCTAGTTGCAATGCAAGTATGATGGCCTTCTCGGTCCCCATGCTGAGGCCGTCCAGTTAAAGGGTCTGTATGGATTTTGAAGTTCAATCAAATGAATCATCTCAGAGCCCACCCACAACTAAGCACCTCTATACGGCAGTTTATCATGTGGCGTTGCTTCATTTATTTCAGGACCTAATTTTGAAAGGAAAATAAATTTCCTTTCCCTTGTGAAATAACAAAAATATTGTGAGTGTAGTGAACAAATTTTTTTTTTTTTTGGGTTCTCAGCCCTTTGCTATCTAAAAGTTATATTAGACCCTGATAAACACCTCCAATATTCATAAGCTACATTAGGCATTGATTAATTCAAAGTTAAGTTGGGTCGGATTTCATAAAAGAAAGTTCTTTCTGTGTTTATCTTTTTATTCATAAAATTTAAACTCGAAACATTATTATTAAGTGGAACTGATTTTTTTTTACTCAAATTAATAGGTCATTTGTGAGTGTAGTGAACGTTAGCATACCTAATATATTTTTTGATAAAATTCCAGTGACCTTTGAAGGTTTTTGCTTAGAATGCCAACACGGTGAATGCTAACAACTCCATTATCTATATCAAAGAAAACAAAGAAACAATAAGCACATCTCTATTTAGAAGTTAAAAGAGAACCTCGTGCAAAGTACCAACACTAATGTAAGCAAGAGTAGTACTAAGAGGGATGACCTTTTGGAAAGTCTTCATGTTGGCCATTTTTCTTGCAGCCTAGCTGCCTCATATTCTTTTCTCAAAGTCTAAGGGTTAGTCGACAAAACCTTCAGATTATGCTTCAAACCCAAAACCTCTAAAATAGTGAGGTCTAGTCGACTAAACTTGACACGAGAATTTGCAGATGACTGATAAGGTGCTGCCTCACTGAACCTTCTTGAATTCTTCTTTTGAGGTGTAGAGCTACCAAACAGGCCTTTAGGGTTTTGCTCCCTTTGTTTTTTTAGTCTAATAATGCATTATACAACAAAAATAGCATTTCTTTTTTCCAAATCTCTTGTTATCGATGTCAAGATTTAAATTTAATTTTTCAAAATTAATTTGTTAAGTTCTAACTAATTGAGATGCCCCCTCAAGTCAATAATTAGTTTTTCTTACTTACCATGAAGTATACTTTTTCTTGGCTTTTGATTCTTTTTGCTATCAATTTTTCTTCTTTAACCTACCCCAATAGTGAAAGCTTGAATTTTTTTTTTTTATATTGGTTACATAATTGGAAGCAACTCTTTTTCATCCCTTATCGCACCCCATCTGCATACCATACAACTCAAACTTATGATCTCGTACTTCTAGCGAAATAAGATTATCATTGAATTACTTAAGTTGATGGTGAAAATTTAAAAATTTTAAATTAAGATTTAATGTTGGAAATATAGCAATTCGAGAAAGAATGTGACAAATGATGCAAATAATCCTCTATTGTATAGGTCACATTATAAACAAACCTCAGAAAAAAAAAAAGCTTTTACCCTATGTTAGGTTGAGGGAAATGGCCTCTCCTTCCTTCTCTTCTCCTCGTTTAAATAAATAACTAAATTAAAAAAAAAATAAAGTAAAAGAAAATTTTCCCCTTCCCTCCTTTTTAATTTTTTTTATAATTAAGTAGAGAACCATTTTTGCCTTCCTCTCCCCTTTCCTCAATTCTTTTCAATCTAAACATACTACTAGATTTCATTTGTTTTAGGTTGACTATAAACGGTTGGTTCATGTCAAACTAATAAACGAGTTAGAATAATAAATAAATAGTAATTAGTTATTAGATATTGAGTATGAACGAATTAAATGTCACTAAGATATGAAAAGGAAAATTTAAACACATTTTGTAAGTATGAAACTTATGAATGATTGACAAATACCTTAATCTGTTGTTAGTTATAAGACAAAGTTGTGGAAAAATAGTTGTGAACGCTGACATTAAGCCTAGGCATTGACTTCTACTGAAAGACTGAACCCCACTGCTGGCTACAAAGTCAGCAGCCAATCCTTCTCAGTAAACGGCTTGAGCATTTGAGGAAAATATCTATCAATAAATATCCAAAGATGCAATGACTGATTCCTTATTTTATAACAATAATAATAATACAATGAGTAAGAGATAATCCTCTTTTACTTCGAATATTTTGAAAATAAAATATATGAGGACCTTTTGTAATATGGGATAGTGTATTTCTTGTACTCTTCTAAATATAAATTATTTTTTGTGAGAAAATTGTGATTTTATTGTTTTAGCAATGGCAATTTCAAGGGGTGTTATGAGGGAATTGAACTCCAATTCTACAAATTTCAAGCACTTACTACTTGAGTTAGTGAACCATTTGACTATCTCAGGTCAGTCCTAAAAGATCATGATATGAGTTATATAAAAATGTATTTTATTGTGCAACTCAAATTAGAAAAAAAAAATACTAAATAATAAAATTATAAAAGAAATTTTAAATCTAGCTAGAACAAATTAAAAATTATTTATTTTATTTATAGGAATTAAACAAAAGATGACTCCCCAAACTCTTTAATGAAGAGCTTTGTTTCATTTTGCAATCTTAAAAAGCATCTCTTTTTATGGTAAATAAATTATAATCTTAAAAGTATTAGTATTTCTCAATTTCATTAATAAAAAATAATCACATATGCTGCATATATTACAATTATTGATGGTAAATAAATCTTTCAAATAGTGGAAAGACTTTCCTCATGTGTATCAGTTTCAATGTTAAAAAATAATTAAAATCTTAACTTACATATAAAAACTAAAATATTGTTTTATTAAATGATGGTATCTAAATTTAAAAGCATATTATATATTATAATATAATTAATTTTTAAATTTAAATATTAATATTCAATAAGATAATCTTTTAAATTTTAAATTAAATTTTAATTAAATAAAATCACATAATTTAAAATTAAAACCTTAATTTATTTTAAGAGTAATGATTGATATTTATTTTTCTCAAATTATTATCCCTTTTATTAATGGTTTTTATAAATTTATTTTTCTTAAAAAATTCTATTTTATAATTCAAATCATAAGAGATTATAAAATCAACACACTTAAATAAAAAAAAGAGGGTCAAATATTCAGCAGCCTTTTCTTAATCCAATAATATTATTTTGTAATTTAATATAATTTAAACCCATAAAATACTTTTTTATTTCCTTTAATAAACTTGAATTATAATGTTAGCAGTGATTTTTTATTTTTTTTTACAAGAGCGATCATTAAGAGTTAAAATTAAAAATTAAGTTAGTATCTTATTTTTAATAAAGTTTAATAATTAATTAAAAATATAATTTACTAATAATTTTATTGAACTGTAATGACTACTAATGAATCACGACAAGGGAAGGAAGGAGTAACTTGTATTGTGAGCAGTTGGACCGTTAATTTCCATGTCAAAGGTTTGGGACGGGGACACATCACATCAATGTGATTCACGGCCTCGATGTTACAGATTCTTTTTCTATCATCATGTGTACCTTTTGCGACACTACCTACCTATAAAATAAAATAAGAGTGCGTTCCCCGCCAATCGGTACGAGACTTTTTTACCATACAAGAATTTCAAGTTATTCCTGGAAATTTATGATTTCTGACTGAAAGTTGTCAAACTCTCTGTTTGGATTTACTGATAATGTGTACTCTACGCGTAACCGACCACCTATTCATTTCAGTGAAAAGGATTTGAATCATTTTAAATAAAATTTTAAATTTAAATTTTATAAATAAAAAAATAAATATTAAAAAAGTTTTTTTAATAAAATTTAATAAAATTTAATTATAAATTAATTAAAATTCAATATAATTTTTTAATATCGATAAGTTAATAAAAAAAGTACTCTACACATTTAGAATAATAAATATTTTTTAATTTTGTATTGAGATTAAAAATTTTAAGATAATTTTTATGCTTATTTATTTTATCTCGAAAAAATAAAAATAAAGAAAGTTTTTTATGATATGATGAATTATTAAATTTAAAAATAATAATAATGTTAAATAAGAAAAAAAAACTTTTGTCTTCTTTAAAATGTGAAAAAAAGACTATTGTTCTAAAATAAATCTCAAATAAAAAATATTTATTATTTTAAAATAGAGAGAGAGTAATTACCATGTTATAATTTAAGTCAAGTTTATAATTTAAGTTAGTTAATATTTTCTTAGATATAATATTTTTAAATGCACTATCTCAAAGAATGTGGAGTACGTATTAAAAATTATTTAGAGATGAATTAGTTTTAAAGTGCTAGTGAAGCTTGAGAATACTATATTTGTCTAAACAAAGTAAAAAAAATAATAGTAAGGAAAAATATATATTCTTAAATATGCATGTGTGATTGTAAATATACTATTTAAATGTTATTTTAAAATTTATTTTTTTATTCAGAGTTGCACGTGTGAATTATAGATATACATTTGTTTAAATCACCTATAGATAATTGTATAAATTGTAATACAAAGAAATATATTGTAAGTATGTCATTAGTGTAAAGAGTTGAGCTTTGAATCCCATACCCCTCTCCACAAATTATCTTAACAGAAATGAAAAATGAATGTGAAAACACATCATTTGTTAATGAGAATTAAGACTTAGCAGACCAATCTGATGGAATTAGAGTGAGTTAATTAAAATCAATATTAATTAATCTTTACATGATGATGGCTATATAAGAAAGAACACAAACCCTTTTTTTTTTTTTTTTTGAAATTCCTCTCAATTGAATCAAGGTTTTAAATAAAAAAATTTCGAATTTAAATAAGAGGTTTTTAATCAATTAAACCATCCACTTGAGAACAATATCATTGTTGTTTACAGTATGCAAGCTTTGGAAAATCATCCCATCACAACATGGCCTTTCTAGTTTGGCCTAAAATGAGCATATTTTTTTTTTATTATTTTGGGTTGCAGAAGGTTACCCTTTTCATCCATACACTCGCTTCACCTACATCAGAGGCGGAACGACGTGGGGGTTGGGTTAGGCATGGGCCCTGCCCAACCTCAGAAAAAGAGAAAAAAAAAATGAAAAGAAAAGAAAAAGAAACAGCGTAAGAAATGAAAACATTTAAGAGCAAGGTTGCAAAAAAA